TTTCACAAGAGTTCTACTAACATTAGAATATTCGGCAAAAATTTAAAAAAAAACGAATTTTCCCACTTTTTGATCTATACGGTCGTATAGATCACTCTAGCCAGCCACATGTAGTTTCGGTGGCCTTCTATGCGGCCGCATAGGCCGTTGAGCCTGCGGTCGCATAGACCAACTCCGTGCCGCCTTCGTCCGCTTTTATCTCATTGATCCAAGTTCCTTCGGCCTTCGACCCCAACTGAAACTTGTTCCATTTGACTTCCGGAACATTGTTTCATCGATCGTTTGCTTGACAAGCAATCCCATCGCTTCTTTCACTCACTTCGTCCTCGATCGCGTCATCGGTCCGCCTTCGACTTTCAATGGATCCTTTCCGTAACTCGTCGCTTGACTCACTTCGGTTGTGGACGTGCCTTGATTCATATCACCTTATAATCAACATCTTATAAATAATCAAAGTAATTGGAATCACCCTGGATAATTAAAATTCCCCACTGATTGTTAGCATCTCATTTCCTTTTATTTGTCGTGCAAACTATATCAAATAATTCAACATATAAATTGATAATTAAGTGGTTGTACCATCTATCACTTTAAACGCTGATACATAAATAACCTGTAAAATCATTAAAATCTGTCCAACTCTTAATATGTTACATATACCATAATTCCAACCCAACAACTAATAACATTTTCCAACCATCGGATCATTGCAACTATCATATTTACATACTAGTCTTTTTGGATCTGTTAAAAATATTTTTTTTATCATTTTTGGTCCCATACATTCAAGCTTGAGAGCCTGTGATTTTTGCCCCCCACGACATATGACCATACAAATATGCATGATATGTCAATGCATGAACCACAAAAGACTTTCAAAACTTTATAAACCTTGCTGATACCACTCTGACACGCCCCGTCTCGAATCTTCCTAATGTACTAGGAAGGTGACGTGCGTCGATGATGGACGCTGATTAGATATCAGATCCACCACCAAGGTTGATTATGACTTACTACAAAATATGCGCCAAAATCAAATATTTATGAAAAATATAATGCAATGGGCCCAAAAATAATTACTTCATGTTTTATCAAAATGAATCGCATCACTTAATATGTCATGTGACTCTAATTCTAAAACCACCAGCCTCCTCAAGCTATCAAGGACCAATACTACCTATAAGAAATATTGTGGAAAAATATGAGTTTATAGCTCATTGAGTGGAAGAGTTCAAAAATAATTATACTTTCTCATTTAAAGATTTTTCTCATACATAGAAATCAAGTTCATATCGTTTAGTATTTCACATGATAGCCTCATAAAATTTATAGCCAAAAAATGAGACATTCTCATAACTCTGTAAATATCATCTCATATCCATGATATAGTCATCAGCTGATATCTATACCATCATCTCATCACATCACATGTGATCCACCAAAAATGTTCCCTCTGACTAAAATCTGTAATCCGCTCTTCGAACTAAGCACTTTTGCCACGGGCCTTTGGCCCTCTCCATGAATTAAAGTCGGTCTCAAGATCTCTAGTAATCAATTCTAGAACACGACCAATGCCCCTCTGTATGTACACAGTCAAGACCAATATCCGGTCAAGACCCATCTGTGTAGGATAGAACACGGCCAAGGCCCCTCTGTGAACTAGAAGAAGCATATAATCACGGGTACTTTTCTGATCGATCTCAATATCACATGTCTCACATTCCAACTCACAAATAATCCATATCCAAACTTTAAATTCCACATATATCATAGTAAAAGAATCTTTCCATATTAATTATGTAGTTAAACAAATAATTTGCATAATCACAGGTAATGTAATAGTATAAGTACCTTATTACTATTTGAAAATATATAAGTTTTCCACTCACATCTGTATGTATGGATAGCAATCCGACTAAATTGACGGGCATTTCCAAACTTTTATGCCACTACCTGAAATAATGGTATAATAACTCAAATCAAAATCTAACAATTAAACTCCTACAAAGTTACCACGTAGTTTCCCTAACTTCTTTATTTATTCTTTTCTCCCTATTTCTTTAACTTTTCATCTCTTTAATTATTTACTAACAAATCACCAAACATCATAAAATCCATTAAATCACTATAATTCTTAAAATCACTACTTTATATATATACTATACAAACCTTATACATAGTTAGTCTGATACATAGACTTCAATATTTGTCATATAAATTCATTCAAACCTTTAAAAATTTAGAAATCCAAGATTTGACAAAAACAACACTAAAATTCCAAAATATAGAAATCTAGCACCAATTTCTGTATATTGAAATTTGCCACCAAAACCATTGACAGAAATGGCACTTTCTGGGCAGACTTTCAAAAATACCGCTCTGCATGAATTTTGCCCTAAAATTAATTAAAAAAAAAAAAACCAAAATCCAACCTTAACTCCATATCTCATTGTAATACCTCATAAATAAAGTATTTTATGTCATATACACTATAAACATAAAAGATTTAGGCTTTAATTTATAAACCCATTTCATAATACTTTAACATATACTTAACTCTAATATCTATTCTTTCTTCCAAATCTTTTGAGTTAGGCCACTAATTACAAATCCAAATCTAACAATATTGAATAACAATGAGTTTTCTTACCTCTTGGAATAGAATGTAAGAAAGGATGAACCTTGTACTTGAGTTCATATATTATCTTGTTCAATAACATCTTTTTCCCTTTTTTTTTTCCTCCCTTCTTCTCTTTTCTTCTCTTCTTTCCTTCTTTTTGCCCATTTTTTTTGCTGTTTCTGCCCCAGTTCGTTCCTAAGATTTCTTGTGTGTATGTATGTAATATGAAAATGAAGAAATGGCATGCAAAGTGCCACTTGTAATCCACCACTAAACCCTTTTGCTATCAAGTCCTCCAAACTTCATATGATATCTTATTAAGTCATTTAACTTTTAATAATTAATAAGTATTTCCCCAAATTTAAATTTTATCCGTCTTAAACCTTCAAATGTTGTCAATTTATAAAATAAACCCCCCCAAAAATAATTTAGTCAATTCAAATCCCACTAAAATGATTTACTTCATTTAAGTCCTTATTTGACTTTGACCAGTCAAACATTTGACTTTAAATTAATAATATTGACCTTTGACTAGTATGAAATGGGGTGTATCATTTGTGGAGAATATGTGTAATGCCCTGAATTCTAGCAATCCAATGCGTTGCCAAATATGAATTTTTTAACTTCGTTAAAAAATAAATTTTAATATAATGACATAGTGAATAAAAATTGAACTAGGACTAATTAAAAAAATTATAATGTTACTCCAAACTAATAAAATTCAACAAATAAGACACGTCGTGAAGACAATCCATTGGTTCAGCACATTCACTCATCCACCTCCGTCCAATATGCTAATTTTTACCTGAAATTTGTAAATAGAGAGGGATTTATGCTGAAACTTTAAAGAATGAAACAAAAGTTAAAGAATGGGTTTTGTGGCAAACATATGTGCATGGTGTCGGTATTTATAGATTAAATTAAGGTATTTTGATTAGGATTAGGATTGTATCATAACCAATTAGTTATTATCCTAGATTATGTAGATAATGACTAATTAATTAGTTCAATTGCGTTAAATATCAAATACATGCAATACTCGTATGACTTGTCTAAACATGAATGGTTATCCTAAATTCATTAATAATTAAATTTTAACTAAACAACAAACTTAAATGGTGATAAGCAACATTAATTTAAGATAAATATAATATATTTATATCATTGATTTCCAAAACATTCTAGTCAAATTGAATAATCTAATTGAATTTGGGATAATTAATATCAACATCCTAGTCAAATTGTATAACTATAACCTTAATTGGATTTGTAATAATTAATATTATTAATCATTGTTATAGCTGTTTCACTTTTCCAAAAACTGTATTGATCGAAAATTATGAAGGAAATGAATATGCATACTATTTCATTTACAATTTATTTATTTCCTTTTTGATCCCTCGACTATTAAGGAAAAATCATATAATGCAAATTAACCATTAGGCATAGCAAATGGAGTTGCTTATAGATTTACTAGACATGACATTCCTACTAATTGACAAGTAAATTATATGTGTTGCTCCAATTCATACTGAGGCTAGAACGGATTGTTCAACTGTTTTTATGAGAAAAAAAATTTAAATTTCCATTCTCCTCTTTGGATATGTTGAAGTATTTGATGATATAGCACACAAGGATGCATAATCTCTCCACATACAATATGGCAAGAGCCAGCTGATACTTTGTATTATTTATATGCTTACTGATTGATTTCTGACCTTCCTCTCTTTAGAGTTTTGGAAATCTTTTATCCATATGTAAGTACCCTTTGGCTCATTCATATCATCCTTTATACACAATGTCTTTTGGCTTCTGGTTGTGTTCCTCCAAATTATATGTAGATGTTCAACTCTTTTTGGATACCAGTAGTATATGTTTGCAGAATGCATACTTATCATTATTTGCAGGCTGCTCTGGAGATTCTTAACTATGTAAGAGATGAAACTGTCAGCCCAAGAAAACTCCAAAATGTCCATGAACTGTGGATGCAAAAGATTGGGCGACTGAAAAATTGGCCGACAAAGGTACGCTATAGAAAAATATTTCTTGAAAGATAAAAAAAAGTTTTTTCTTCATGAAATAATTGATAATAAATCTCTTCTTCTATTCGTGTAATACTAAGATTTAGATTTCATAAACGTAGTTTTTTGTTGCTCTCTTCTTTGTATGTTTTTAATGATGTAATTATTTTGATGAAAGGAGAAAGGCATTTTTTCTACCTTCGTAGATAGGCGATTCAATCCTAATCTCTGTTCATGTCAATCACAAAAGTATTGTTATTTCTTTTTTGTAAATTCTAATTTGCAAATTAGTTTAATGCGATACTGAAATTTTGAATGCTGTACAGGATAGGTTTGCTGTCTAATTGGAATTTATTCTTTTCTGTCTCACACAAGGAATGACTAACGATGCTCTATGGTATTTTCTTGGTTTTCTACTACATTTTAGTTTAGTTTTTGTAAGATTCTATACATCTCTGATCTGAAGTAATTTAATGCTTTATTCATTAACTAGTGTCCATTTAGAAGTACTGGAATGAGCTTGTGTTACTCTATAATACACTTAGATGAATTCAAGAAAGCTCTAATCTCGACTGGTTTTGGATGAGCACCGCAAAATGTGAAATAAATGGCTGTAACCAGTACTTTTTTAGATATTATAGTCTTTTTCGTGGTTTTGAGATCTCAAAAGATGCAAGTCTGTTGAAGGAGACAAAACATTGTGAGTGGGCCAAACCACTAATTTACAAGTTTATTGGACTCTTAGGTGAGTTCTTGAGATATCAAAATGAAGTTTCTGTTGCTAGCATGTTTCAAGTAACATTTGTTTAATATGATATTTTTCAATTAAACTTGTGAAATAATGAAGTTTAATTATTGTGGTTGTGATGGTGGAAAGCCAGTCAATAAATATTTTCATCGACTAATGAATTTTAACATTGTTTTTGAGGACCAATAATAAAATATTAAATCAGTCTTATGTAGGGGCGTGGTTTTGAGAGTGACCCGGTCTCAAATTTGGTTGTTGGCTTGACATTTTGCAATCTCTGGTATTCTGGACTTCCATAGGAGCTACACTGGACAGAGTTGGACACATTTGATGAGTCCAAGCAATCGAAAATGCCTGCAGATGGAATTTACGAGGGGTATGATGCTTTCAAAGCTGGAGGAGCCAAATATTCCTTAGAGTGTTATTTGAACACCTCTTTCGCCTATGACAAAGAAGTGTTAGGAGAGGATGGTAACACCCGAAAGATTCCCTGGATATTGATGCTAATAAACTGAAAAAATCTGCTCGCCGTCATTTTCAGCCACTAGATTTCTACGTGAATTCTGCCGAGGAAAGTGGACATGAAAAATATTTCTTCTCTAATAGTAGTGGTGATCTGCCTCGTGTCTATTTTTGACACTCATGGTGAGTTTTAGAGCTTGTGCTCTCTCCCATCTTCCCTTTCAACTTCTCATAGGTACGAAGGTCCGTATATTCCGTGCTTCACTAATTTATTCCTGTCCACAATCATGATTTTTAGGCAATTTACAGGGACATATTCAGTTCCTCTATGTTTATTCCTTCCTATACCTCTTAATCTCAATATGTATATTATTTATTCGTACCTGATAAGTCTGCGTTGTAGTTTTTCATTGTTGTTCAACTACAAGGACGTCTTCTACTAAATATATTGTTTGTTGCTGTATGCATTTTATGCTCGTTTATCTTGTTAGGTGGTCAAACAAAAAGTACAAGTTTCTTGTCTTATATTGTATGCATAGGAGTAAATAAAGCAGGGCCAAAATAACTATCATAACTAATCATCCATACTATGCAAACCTTTTCATCAATAGCAGCATTTGGCTTGAATGACCACATTTAATATTTTGGATACTAATTATGATGTCCAATTGTCTAATAGTACCCAATTTTTTGATAGTATGATGTCTGAAATTATGTAAATTTATTTTTTGTATTTCCCAATATTAATTTAATTGCACAATTTCTGGGATGTGTACCTTTATGTCATGCTTCAATTACGTTCAAGAATATATTGATATGCTAATTATTGTTAGTTTCTTGGAAATTGTAGGTCTTCCCCAATGGATACTGCCTATGCATTCGCCAAATTCTCGTGAAAGTTTTGAGGATTTGATGAATAAGCACAAGAAATTTCATAATGACTACTATACGAGTGCGTTGAAGCACTTGCATGTTTCCCTTAACTCGAAAGTGCGAGTAATTGAGGCTTTTCATCCTTTAATACAGCTACTGCAGTTATAATGCTTTGTATGGCAATTGTATGTCATATTCATCAAATACTTATTTGTTTTGAAAATGAGTAGAATTCTGTTTTGCTTTTAAACTCCAGCTATCATTTCTTATACAGCAATGCATACACCTATTGTTTAAGACAATATTTAATGAATACATGTGGTCCCTTGCTAACATTTTAAACTTTTAGATGAGATGATTAACAATATTATTAACAAGCTAAGTCCTTTACCACCTAAACTTGATGTCAGCTACGTTAATCTTTTACACCACTTCTTTTGTTTTAATGCTGCATTTGGATGAATTATAACCAATTGTATACATACAAGGTTATTGCTAATTCAGAAATAGTTGTACTTTTGCGTAATTATTTTTGAAGCAGCAGAGTTTTCTAGTCATCTAGAAAGTAACAAAGCTACAGAGTCTTTAACCTTGCATAGTATAATTACTGGGTAGGTTTTCATTAGAAAACAATGCAAAAAGAAAGTAAGATGTGAATGAAAAGATCAACAGTTGCAGTTATGTTTTGTCATAACAATTAGCAGCACAGCCCCTACAATTTATTGATCGAGTACTTGTTTTCCAATTCAAGCTGTCAATTCTTTTTTCTTTTTAATTACAATAGTTTCTGGATTTGTCTAAAACACAACCTCCGAATTTCCATCTTTGTTATTTTGGCAGATGCTGCTTCTTGGAGATCGGGTTAACGAGGCCATTGATGAACTTGAAAAATCATTTAAAATTTCAGATACAGTACTCCAGTTAAGGTAATGGTTTCCTTCTCCAAAATAACAATTGTGGCTGCTTAGAATGCAAAGCAAACTGCATTGACTAGGGACTAATTTGAAAGATACATGCATATGTATGTGTATGCAAGTGTAGTTAGAATATATTGGTTTTCATTTGTTGCAGATTGAAAGCTGCTCTCTTAGAGCATTTTAATGGCATATACAATGTGAAACTCTGTACATGCTTTGAGGACATCTTAAAGAAGGATCTAACATGCAGCAACTTGTTGGCTAGACTTGTAGTCATGCATCAACGAGGTCAGTTATTAGTGTTTTTTCAGATGGTTTCAAGGTGTTTATTTCGTTATCTTATCACTTCTGGTAAGATCAATTTTGAATAGTTCAGGCATCATTTGTTATTTATCACTTCTCATTGCTTTATATTCTTTTGCTCCTTTTTTTTATTATTATATTTTAATGTTCACTGCCCACCCCACCCCCTTCCAATCATACACAGACAAACCTGCGCACCATTCTGAAATTATTTCCATAGATTGGAAATTAATTTAAAGGTCTGTATTGGATGGAAATCCTCTTCAACGACCAAGTTATGTTTGTTTTTTGGTTAGTAACTTTGTTTTGGGTTCAAAAATAGTTCCTCGCAACAAGGACCTTCTGGTCTTCTGACATTAAAATAATATATCTCTGTATTCTAGAAAAATACAGAAATTTCTGCTGAAAATATTATGCAATTGTAGCTAATATAAAATAAGCTTTCGAATGCCATCCGACATTTTCTGTCTATTGGTGCCCTTGTGTTTAATGTTTAATTTTGGTTTTAATGTTAATGAAATAATAGATTAGAGGAATTTGCATTTATATGGAATTCTTCTCTTCTACCTTAGTTTTACGATATATGTCTTGGTACCAGATGATTGTAACACATTTCTAAAACTAAATTGTATGTATGATATGTTGTTTGTATACTCAATGGCAGGGGATTACAACACTAAAAAACTTGCAGAAATGATAGCCTTACACTTTGATGCTACATATGCAAAATCTGACACAGGTGGAAGGAATTAGCATCTTGCTTCTTGAGACTTCATCTGTGTGGAGATGATAGAATGTCATGTTCTAATGGAAAAGACGGGCACAATCAAGCTTCCTCCTGTCATTCTAACCAGATTCTTGATATATCTACTAACAGTGCATATGGGAAAAACTGGAGGCTCCGTTGCATATGGTGGCTTAATCGCCATTTCAGCCACAGCATTTTCCTGTCGGATATTGCAACTGGTAATCATGTTTCCTATATAGTTCGTTTCTAGTAGTTTCTGTTCTATTGCTCGGTAAAGGCCATCTCCAAGTTTTGCTACTTGTGGGAACCTTAGCACACCATTAAATTTTTGTCATTTTATGTGGAAGTAGATCACTCAATTAGAAATTAAACATTTTTAAGTTTTAATGTTTCATTTAACTTAGCATACTGTTAACATAGTCGAATATTCTGATAGGAACCTGAGATAATCTCGCTTCACCAAACAGAATCTATAGTAATTGGTGGACTGAAACAGAATTTTAATATTTCATTACTGAACTTCGATTATAAGAAATAGGTCTGCTATAAGAAAACAGATTTGAAATGCCAAATAATACTCTCCTAATGACTACCAAATTCTGCCTGCTCAGCTGCAATTCCATCCCCTTATTTATAGGTTCTGCTTCTAGACTGTTCCTCCACCCAATTATGTAACCTTGCATGTGGCCTCCTCTCCTCTTGCATTTCCTTTTTCTACCCTTGCGCCTTTGATAGGTAATCTGTGTTGCAGGTCTAATATATTCACAATAGTGGCTAAATTTAAGGTGGAAACATAAATTTTTTTATATGGAAATGCGTTGATTTTATATTTGTTTTTAATTTTCTGGTTTCTTATGGCTAAAGGTGATTTGGAGCTTTTAACTTACAAAGCTGCAACAACTTCACATCTCTACGGATGGGAGTTCAAATTTGTTATTAAGGCTGCTGAGTATTTGGAGAAGGAAAATATAATGGAACTCTATTCTTACCTGCAGATGCGCATTATGAATTCTGTTGGTTTTTATTTCAATATGAAGAGAGATAATTCCTAGTAAGAAAGATTGCTCTCTGTGTCGACCGTTGCCTGTAACTTGTATTTTGGTGGAGGTCAAGTTCCCATGGAATTATTGTACAAGTTTCTTTGGGACATCAGAGGACTAGAAGCCTAAGTTTTTGTTAATGTTAGCTCGAAAACCTGCGCTAAAGTACTTTTGAATGTGTATTTTATACTAGCAGTCAAGCAGGCTTTATTTTATTTTATTTTTTATTTTTTATTTTTTACTTTTTTTTTTGTTTGAATATTTATCTTTTCATGTTTATCTATAGGTCTCATGTTATTATACTTTAACATAAACTGTTATATAACAACTATTGATTTGGCATCTACAGTACACAAATAGAGTGGATCAACAAAGATAATACTTGGCTTGCTGAGTTCCAAAAATCAGTATCAACAGGTAATGAAGTTGCAGTAAAAGAAGTGTATTGCTTTCAGAAGTTGATGTTTGTGTGCTTGTAATATGGCTAAAGTAATCTCCAAAAAATAACTAATTTTTCAATTATTGACATTTTTTAATGATTTGACTGTATTTTGTTTTCACGGTTACAAAACCTTATATTGAAATTTGAAAAGGAAAATATTAAATTAAATATTATGCATTCTCAGTAGTTCAAAAATTTAACATTGTAAATGCATGCTTGGAATAACATTGGATTGAGACAGGATGGACCCACTCAAACCAAACAGTCTCAAGTCTCTAACACTGAAAAAAGGTCTATATACCGTTAAGAGATTCCACATGGATAACTATCTGAGTGTCAGTGGTTAATCTCTAACGCTCGGTAGTGAAATTGGTCATATAACTTGAGGTCATCATAGTGCCTTGTATGAGGACAGTCATACTTTGACGGTGTTGGATGTTGCTCTGCCAAGGGCTCCCTAATACGACATCGTTCGAGTATGTCAAAAATCATATGAAGGTTGTGAATGACCAATAGAGGATTCGTCACTCTTAGATAGTAAGAGATTGTGATCTGCATTTCGTTCAATTAAGTCGATAACGAAATCTTTGGCCAAGGTATACATATAAATCGAAAAGGAGTTTTCGACTCATATTGACTTAATAGTAGAATGAAAGATAAGATCGATAATCGAGATTGACACACTTTCATATCTCGTAGTTGATTGGATCATATTGACGAAGGGATTATAATTTCATGGTAAACAAACAGTTTTGGTTTTGTCATACCATGTGACATTTCCCGTCACATGTGTTGCCCTGATACATTGCTAGATGTCAATCTGGGATGGCGAGTGTGAATTTGTGATAAATTAAAATGGTGTTTGATTTATCAATTTTGATTAGATCAAAATAATATTTCACTTCGTTAGGTATCGTGGTCGGGAACCTAATGGGTCGCACACAAAAGAGAATTGGAAGATTGCAAATTGCTAATTGATTAATTTAACAATTGTTGGATAAATTAATTAATTGAATTTGTTATTTATATTCCCAAATTAATTAATTCAATTAATTAATTCACGGACCGGGATTAATTAAATGGATTAATTAAACATTGGACCGGACCAGGCCGAGCCCATTTCAATTTATATAAATACATGGTTAGGGTTTGAGGTCCATAAGGTTTTCATTATTCTTGCTCGCACAAGAGGAAAAATCATAGCAATTGCAATCTATTCTCTGTGTGGATTTCATTGGAGGCTGGACAATTGGACAGCTGTGGGAGGCAGATTCAAGTTGTTAGAAAGGAATAACGCGAAGGAGTTTGCAAAATCAAGAAAATGTATAATTCTTATCACAGTTCTTATCTAAATACAAAGCTGAATCTTGAATGGAAATTGAAATTTGTTTAATTCCGCTGTATATGTTTAAGTAAATTCCCAACAGTGGTATCAGAGCCAACTTTGCATTTGTTAAGAATTGATCTATATGTTGATTAAATTAAAAGTTAATTTAATCATTTTAATCCATGAATCTAGCAATTGTAGTTTTAGTTTTACTCTTTTCAGAATCTGATTTTGAAAGGAAAAAAAAAACGTTTTTTTCTTTTGGATCGAGGCGCGCTGCCACCGTCGCGACGCCTGTCGCTGTTGCAGCAGCGCTAAGGCACTGTTGTGGTGGGCCGGGGGGAACTACCGGCAGTTCCCTCGCCGGCTGTTGGGTAGGGCGACGCCAACCGGTGCTACCAACAGTAACACAATAAAAAAAATAAATTGATTTTTACGATTTGGTGGAGACGGGGGGCCTCTGTTGCAAATAATTCAATTAGGGGCCCTTGGTTACAATTACGAAAAATAGGGTCAATTTGCAATATTTTAAAAAAGGGACCTGTTCTACAAATTTTTAATTTGGAAGGGTCCGTTGTTAATTTCCAACATGGGTCAAATTTGTAAATTGTCAAAATGGTTTTGATTTTGAATTTTGAATTGGTTTTAAAATGAGTTTTTAATTGGGTTTGACCCATACCCTAATTTTGATCCAAAATTAAAATTTATTTAAAATTTGACGACTTTTATATTTTTGTTAAAATTAGATTTTAACTTAAATATTCAATTTTGACCCTTAATTGAATTTTATTTTGTTTGGGAATTTTATCCTAAATTAAAATATTAATTCAATTTTATTAGAGTTGGACTCTAATATTATATAATTAAAATTTGATTTCAATTAATACCACTTCCCAATGCAAATTAAAATTTAGAGTATGACTATAATTTAATAATTAATTAAAATTCGATTTTGATTAAATTACTTTGCGCAATATTTATGGAATTAGAGTTGGACTCTAATTCGGGATTTAGTTAAAATTTGATTTTAATTAAATAGGCCTGCCAATTAAGTTAATTAATTAATATGATTAATTAATTATTTAATTATCTCGATCCAAAATTTTGAATTAGTTTTCAGGACTATAATTGCTAGATATATGAGACATTGCATATAATATTAGATATTATACATAGGAAACATTTATGTGGTGAATGTCTATGGATGATTATGGACTCGACCATATGGATGTGTCGAATGGTTGATTTACTTCTTTTTATTTTATGGGCCTGCGAGCCCTTAATTATTTTGGAGCTGCGAGTCCGTTGTTATTGTTATTATTATGGGTCTGCGAGCTCTTTATTATATTGGACCTGCGAATCCGTTGTTATTGTTATTATTATGGGCCTGCGAGTCCGATTTTTTTAGGCATGCGTGCCAACTAGTATAGGATACATGTTGCAGTTTAACTAATTGGAGTCGCGAGAAGAGGTGGACACATGGAGATGGTGCATTGGTGTTGATCCAATGTTGTACCCCTTAGGAATTGATCAACTAGTTTTCCCTTTGGCTTAGGAAAACTAGATAGAACAAATCCATAATCATTCATACTATTACTTATATATATTTATTCGTGTATATATTAGGATTTGTTGTGTACACTCAAGATCTTGATACAACGAATGGGATCCCAGCCCACTGAGAATCAAATAAGGATTCAAATAATTTATGTATGAGGGTCATGAATTTATTTTAAACAGTGGGAGCACGTTAATTAAAGTCCATATTGAATTTGTGCATATGCATTATAATACATATTAATTCTATGTTTTTTCGTCATTTACAATTTTTGAATCATGAGTAATCATATGAATTTGAGAGGCATACTGAATGCCAACAAACTGACCGGACCAAATTTTCTCGATTGGCACCGTAATTTGAGAATCGTTCTCAAGCATGAGAAAATTGGATATGTCCTTGAGCAGCCCTTTCCATTGGTGCCTACTGAAAATTCCACTCAGGAAGATGTGACTGCTTACAACAAACATAGTGATGACGATAACACTGCAGCATGTGTGATGCTTGCAGCTATGTCACCTGAGTTGTAGAAGCAACATGAGGGTATGGATGCTTACACTATAATTTTTCATCTTAAGGAGTTGTATGATGAACAATCTCTTAGGTATGAGACCTTTAAACAACTATACCGGTGCAAAATGGCAGAGGGATCTTCAGTCAGTGCTCATGTGCTGAAGATGATTGGTTTCATTGAAAAACTGGCTCAATTTTTGAATCATGAGTAATCATACGAATTTGAGAGGCATACTGAATGCCAACAAACTGACCGGACCAAATTTTCTCGATTGGCACCGTAATTTGAGAATCGTTCTCAAGCATGAGAAAATTGGATATGTCCTTGAGCAGCCCTTTCCATTGGTGCCTACTGAAAATTCCACTCAGGAAGATGTGACTGCTTACAACAAACATAGTGATGACGATAACACTGCAGCATGTGTGATGCTTGCAGCTATGTCACCTGAGTTGCAGAAGCAACATGAGGGTATGAATGCTCAAAAAGGCTAAGGGCAATAACAAAGCATTCAAAGCAAGCAAGGACAATACCGAATCTGATGACCCATGCTATCACTGTGGAGTGAAAGGTCATTAGAAGAGGAACTGCAAGGCTAATTTTTCATCTTAAGGAGTTGTATGATGAACAATCTCTTAGGTATGAGACCTTTAAACAACTATACCGGTACAAAATGGCAGAGGGATCTTCAGTCAGTGCTCATGTGCTGAAGATGATTGGTTTCATTGAAAAACTGGCTTCATTGGGTTTTATCATGGATCATGAACTAAGTATTGACTTGGTTCTGCAATCTCTGTCAGATAGTTATTCACAGTTCATTATGAACTTCAATATGAATAAGATCGAATGCACACTCCCTGAGTTGCTTAATATGCTTAAAACTGTGGAGCCCAATGTCAAAGCTAGCACTGGACATGTCTTAGCTATTCATTCCTCCAAGGGCACTAAGAGGAAAATCAAAGGAAGTTTTAAGAAAACATCCAAAAAGGCTAAGGGCAATAACAAAGCATTGAAAGCAAGCAAGGACAATACCGAATCTGATGACCCATGCTATCACTGTGGAGTGAAAGGTCATTAGAAGAGGAACTGCAAGGCTTATCTCGCTAGCTTGAAGGTAAAGAAATCTTCTGAAGCTTCTACTTCAGGTATTTTTGTTATCGAGGTTAATATGTCTACTTCATTAGCTTCTTGGGTATTAGACACCGGATGTGGATCTCATATTTGTATAAATATGCAGGGACTAAAGAAAAGTAGACCACTGCAGAAAAGAGAAGTTGAACTGCGCATGGAAAATGGAGCAAAAGTTGCTTCATTAGCTGTAGGGACATACTTCTTACCACTGCCTTCGGACTTAGTATTAGA